CAATTTGAGTTCATGTTCCAATTTGAATTGTTTGATCCAATTTGGAATTTGCATATATGTATTGTTACTGCCTAACCAGTCTTTCATGCTAATCTCAATATGATAAGCTGAAATACCCGGTACAAGGCGTTTGTCAAAGTATTCTGGACACGATTCTGCCGTACCAATTTCTTGCCACTTCATTGCATCTAGACAAGCATAAGAAGGTTTCACTTTTTCATAAGCAATTACTGAACAAATTTCAAATTCATATAATTGTTGAATATAATTGCTCTAAATGATATTTAATCAAGAGAAAAACAAAAAATCAAGAATGTGGTTGGTAATAAAAAAAAATCAAAATAATAAAACAATAAAACTATATCGCTTCTTACCAATATTTTCATGTCATTCAGTCGATTACCGACAAAGTCTTCGATAGAAAGCAATCTCGAATCTATCTTTGAATCCTTAAATAAATTCTCGTGACCCCAACGAAATTCGTTAATTACCCATGTGATTCGTGCTTTTAATTGATTCAAAGAATCATCTGGATGCACAGAAACGTTTTTTATTACTAGGGCACCTCCGACCAATACTTTTTCAAAAAGAAATTCTCCTTTTAAGAATGATTGAAAAGAAGTGACTGGTTTACCATGATATGTAACCTCTAAAATAGGAATTAGCAGCAAAACATCATGATCCGAAATTTTAGATTTCTTGTCTCGAATCTTTTGAGTTTCGATAAAAGTAGAAAACTTTTCTTCGAAAAGTTCCCATGTCGTTTTAGATGTTTTTGTATCATCCTTGAGTGACCGGAATGATGCTAATGTAAATACATTAGTTATGTTAGTTAATTTATGTTAAACCTTAGATAATTTATATTAAAGAATAAAAAAATGTCGGCGAAATGATGTACCTGCAATGAATAAAAAGGTCGGTCAATTCTCCCCCAAAACTTTCCTTATGCAACTTCTTCTTTTTAAGATCATATATAAAAAAACAGGCACTTAATTGTGAATCATTAAGACAAGAAAAATGAACACCTGTCACTAACGTTGAATTTTTTGGATGGAAGTCAATTTGTTGTGGTAGTTGCTGTGTGCATGCTACTAAAATACTATGATCTTTAAATTGATCATAAATACTAATTTGGTGATTATTGGTTGGAGCATATTTTCCACTATCGATAATGTCACAATTTTCATTGAATTTGAAATCTTTCGGTTGGCCGACAACAACCCAACCTATTTGCAGATTGAAAAATTTAGTCTTGTACCACATTAAGCTTTTATTGATCCAATGAAGAACTACGCTAGCAGAATTATTTGACGTATATACAATAATACGAGTAGAAAATACATTTTCCATATTTTCTTTATTCATAACAGACGCAAAAATTTGGCATTCCTTTAGATTAAGATTTAGTTCTGACGGTATACTAAGTTTATGCTCATATGAAAATTTTGATGATGACATGACGATATTATCAACTGAGTCTATTGAACTATAAAGAACTTTATGTCCCATTGCTTCAAGAACTTTTTGGCGAAGTTCTAGGTTTAAAATATCAAATATTGAAATTAGATCAACATATTTAATTATCTCCCAATTGATACATTCACTTAAGGAATCTTGCCATGAGGACATGCCATCTTTTTTAAATTTATTTTTGTCTCCTCCATATACACAAATGTAACCTTTTTTTTTATATTTGAAGTAGATAATGACTCGTTATATCCATTTTTATTTGAATAATTGCCTCCTATGCTAACAATATCGTCTGATCCGACTTCCATACCAACGTACCGATCCGTTGAGGTCTGTTGTAACGTGCTTGATGCATTATTATGTACTATTTTATTAATTCTTCCGCCGATTTGAACTTTACTAGCAATATAGTGTCCAAAATTATCGCTCATTTTTTTGAGTTCATTTTTAGGATTATTGCTTCCTAAAGCAGAATTTACTGCCCGTATAAAATCTTCAGATGGTTGCACTTTCTCAACGTCAATTTCTATTTCGTATTTTGGCAATAATATTATTTCATATTCAGAAGAAAATTCTGTGTGATGAATAGCACTAATTTGACGGCAATACGAAAAAATAAGACCAATGGTTAAATGTGATAGCACAGATGCCGATATTTCCCCTTCTGCTACTAAATTTTTCCGCAAGAAATTTTCGTGCTTATTTTTACATTTCCCTTCATATTTATATTCAGTGTAATCTAATTTCGTCATCTTAACACTCTGAGTAATACCTTGAGAAAATTCAAATATCATGTTGTCTACTTTTACAGGTCCATCCTCTGTCATTTTTCTTCCGTAATTCAACATGCATCTACGTGTAGCTTCAATAATATTTGACTTAATTTTTAAAATATAACCATCATGTAAATTTTCCTTTAGTAATTCCGTACTTTCATCATTACGTGAAATTATTCCACATGTATTATAGAAGGGAAATGTATAAATAAGCATGAAAATTTCTTGCGGAAAAATTTAGTAGCAGAAGGGGAAATATCGGCATCT